AAAGGTCAAAGAAGCCACAGCAGTGATTTCCACAGATTTTTTTTTTTTTTAAAGGGAAAAAAATAGAGAGAGAAAAGGTGAGAGAAATTTAAAAAAGGAAGAAAAGAAACAGGCTGGAGCTATTCAGTGGCATTTCAGTTAGCAACAACTATCCTCAAAACAGATCCATCTAAATCAGTGGAAATTCAGTTAGCAAGACTTAAATTGTTTGATGAAATGATTTTACTTTTTCTGCTCCTAAATACATATTTGAATAAATATTTGAGGAAAGTGAATTAATTACATATCTTTAGATTATTTACTTACTTACCCATATTTGTACGCTGTTAATATTTGTGATATTGGGCAAAGGAAATTAAACATCAGAGTGAGCTGGAATTACTTGTTGAGTTTTCTCTATCTGCTTTCCAAAGTGTGCCATTTAGCAAGATGAAGCTTTTTCTGTATGTGTATGTGGTGGTTTTGGAATTTCCTTTCTGTTGTGTTATGTTTGGCACAGAGCCTTGTAAGCTTTGGGCGCCAGCTTAAGATATATCCATCACGCAGACTTTGGGTTAAATTTCTACTGCATTGCTTTCTTTTCTGCTTTGCCGTTGATGTTCTGCATCACAGAGTTTTTAAACTGCCTTATGACTTTAAATGTGCAATATTTTTAGAAGTTTTTACTATATTTAAAGTATTTATTATAAATAGTTGTATCCTGCTTTGGAATTTGTTCTTAACAGTAAAAATGCAGGATAAAAAAATCAATATATAGCTGATAAGATATGGTCACTTTTAGCATTCTGAACCCTGCATTTAAAATGAAAGGTGGGGGCTGCTGAGAAAATGATGAATGCTGTCACCCTCCCTCCCTCCTTCCTTCCCTCCCTCCGTCCCTCCATCCCTGGATTGTTCAAAGTATGCCCAGAAGAATGTCTCTTACACTGAGTGATATAAATCTTTCCTCCACCAAAAAAGTCTGCCACCTACATTTGCTTTTAGAGGCTTTCATAACAATTTTGCAACTATAAATGATGAACCATACAAAGTGTAAATCATAGTTAAGTATACATGGTTTGCAATTATATTGCAATCTAAACCATACATATGTCTGTAAGGATGTCAGATTGTATATTTTTGACCATGAAGCAAATTATTTCTCTCTCTCTCTCTCTCTCTCTCTCTCTCTCTCTCATTTCTCCAGTTTTATGTATGGGGAACTCACAGACAAGAAAATGATTGAAAAAGTCAGACAGACATTTGACAACTATGAATCAAATTGCTTTGAAATCCTCTTGTACAAGAAGAACAGTACGTATATGAAACCACGTGGACTTTGTTGCCTTTGAAATGGCCATTTACTGTATACTGGTAGCATACTTATTGGTGATCCTCACATAGACAAACTGCACACAAGAGGGAAGTACCATCAGGCTCAAGATAACTCAAAGTTTGCAAAAATGTTAAAAAAAGTATTTGGGGGGACTCAAAAAGGGCAAAAAGTACAGTAAAGGTTGATCAATGATCATGGAATGCTGGCTGACTTTGGGAGGAAAACTGGACTGAGGGTATTAGAATGGCATGCCTTGATCAAGAGGGTTTCTTGCTAGTATTTCCTGGCAGGCCTCTTTATTTTTGTTATTATTGGAGTACTATAGTAATAAATCCAAGGAACCATACTCTAATCATAAATCAAGGTAAAAGAAGCAGGGCATGGTCTCTGGCTACCTAAAATAAGAAATTCTAGGAAAAGGCAATGAAGGACATCAGTCTATTTTATGGCTGATATCTATTAGAGACTTCTTAGTCAATTAATTATATATACTTCAATTGATTGATCAAATCTGGCACTTCGTTAATACTATTAGACTAATAATGTATTCCACATAAGGAATTATATAATCAATATCTGGGCAGATAGTATAGATATATATCACTCTTTTTTCAAAGAGTATTCACTCTTTGAAAAAAGGGTGATATATGAACTGGCCGAGGTTGCATTTTGAATTTTACGCAAGAATGGTGATTCGAAGCCAGGTCTCATCCAATGTTTTCACCAAAGCATTGCACTCCAGATGAGAATCCATGTCCCATCGGTGGTCTATAAAAATTGGAAGGTCTCACTTTCCTGCCACACATGTTTACCCATCTGATTTGATGCAAATAGACCAGGATGACAGAACTTCATGAGGTTGCTGCTATTTGCAAATAGTTCAGGATGTGGACTTGCCTCCCTCCTTATGCTGTACAAGTTGAGTGCTCAAAAGTTCTTTTCCAACTCAGAATGAAAAGAAGGCTGGGAATTGTAGGAGTTGCAATCCTCACATGTCTAGATGGCCCCCATTTGCTGAATAACTGCTGAAAGGAAAAAGCAATGATTGGACTTCTTATGAACTGGCTTTAGTGATATCTGAAGAAGTGTAATAGTTACATCAACTCCCAGGTGCTTTGGAAATTATGCTTCTGGTGAGCATGTTATGTCCAATTTACACTAGGAAGAAGTCTCCTCAGCTAAGCAAGAGGACAATGCCTTACTGGCCAAACACAGCACATTGCATTTTGTATGACACTGGTCCCAACACCTCAGTGATAGTGGAAGGAAAATACTCTCTAACTCCATAGTCCCCTGAAATGATTTGTCATTTAACATAAATGGAGATAGCAGCTAATAGAATAGTATATACAGTATGTTCCTTTCTGTTTTGGAAATCCTCAGATGTAGATAGAGATAATCAAGATGAGTTTTTAGCCATCACCTCATCTGAGTCTCAGCAGAACTGACTCCTGTTGTTAGGCAAAGAGTAACTGTTTGCCACTAAAAACGCATCCAAGCTATTTTGAATAAGAGTCCACAACATTCAGAGAATCCTTTGCCTGAAACAGTCCCACAAAGTCAATAAGGAGTTTCCAAATGAAATGGCAATGGCTTCCTTTTGTAGACTCCCAGTTTCCCAGAGAATACTTTCGAAAATCTACTTCTGTTAGCTGATGGTAATGGTGTGTCTCCCTCAGACACTGATTTTTAGAGGTAAGAACCAGTTAATAAAATATTTTTAGTTCCTTTTCTAAATAATTTTAAACAATGATTAGAAGTTTTCTTTGGAAAGAACTATACTGCACATCCACACTTCAACTTCCAGGAGGATGAACTTTCTTTCTGTTGTAGACACAGAGAAAACAAAGATCTCAACAACTCGGAAGGAAGTGCCTGTGAAAATATGTGACAGAATATGTCCTTGTTGATTATGGATAGACATAGAATTAGCTTTCATCTCCCACTCCTGCTCCTTAATGAATACTGTTACAAACTCTGCATCATCTTGACACTCCTTTAACATTTTAAACATGATATAGCTGCTGACTTTCATTATTTCATGAACTCCTTTAACATTTTAAACATGATATAGCTGCTGACTTTCATTATTTCATGAACAATAACATTCATGTGAAACTAAGTGATGCTACTGCTTAGTACAATTCCTTGGATCTTGAATAGCATTCTTGTTCAGGGTGGCCATTTTTCTTGCAAATCTGCCTTTCAGATTTTTGAACTGCTTACAAAGTGTTGCTGTAACTCTCCACAGCCTAAGCAAGAATTGGCATATCTGGTCCTATCTGCAGACATTGTGGAGGCTGCATTTCTTATATTCTGATGAACTCGCTGCCCAGAATTTTCAGTCTGCTTGAAGTGGGTAGTATTATGTTAGTTGGTGTCTTTTTGATTAATGTGATTTATAGTGATGCAATTTCATTGGCTAATGCTGTTACTTTTGGTTGACAAGAGTTTCTGTTGAGTGCTTTATCATAAACCCAAGGCAATTTCTCAATATCTCTTCTAAAAGTTTCCCCAAATTGCAATCTTTAGATAATTATGCAGTTATACAGCTCAGCAATGCATGTTGCAGGTTACTGAAGTTGCTTATGAAATTTAAATCTCTCATCTTTGTAAACGACTAGAACTCACAATCTCCCAGTTTCAAATCTAGCACAATCTTAGCCACTACAGCAAATTGGCTCTTTTGGCTGCAGTGCTGAGATGCTGAAATCAGAGAGAAGGGTAAAACAGCCAGAGCTAGGAGTGAATGGCAATTTTCTTTAGATCTTATTTTGGTAAGAATTTCCTTCCTTCCTTCCTTCCTTCCTTCCTTCCTTCCTTCCTTCCTTCCTTCCTTCCTTCCTTCCTTCCT